AATGACATTATGTTCTACATATATTTAGCTTTCTCTCATAATTTTTTAAAACATTTTTATTAAAAATATTGCAAGTTTTAGCAGCTACTGATCTTAGAGCTGCGCCGTCTGAGTTTATGATTGCTGGCAGTGTTCTTCATAAGTCATTATATTTATGTTATTAATATTATACTCCACATTATATAATTATTTTAATTTTAATGTTTGCTACTCGGAGCGAGCTCATTACCTGAAGCACAGAGAATATATAAAATTTCGCACTGAAAATTTTTTCAGCATATTTTTGAATACATAAACTAACTATTTATGAAAAAAATCAATTTTCTGAAACCTCTAAAAGTGAAAATTATTTCTAAACAAATAATTATATTTTAAAAAATAGGGCACTTCACGGAGAAAAAAGAATTGTTGTGGTTACTAAAAATTAAGTCCACACAACAATTCCGAATTGTCAATATGGAACCAGCAGTTCTATTTGTTTTTGGGACAAAAAAAATGGTTAAAATGGGATTGTTATTAAAACTATTCGGAGTGTTCGATGAACAAACAGAATTGTTTGATGAACAAAGAAAATTGTTATGGAACAGTTGAAATAACAAAACTAAATTGTTAAATCGGCAATACAATTTGTTGTATTAACAAAGCTTTGATCCGTCTAATACAATTTGTTCAGTTGCTTTGCCTTCTAAAATAATCGATAGCAGATTTCCGTAGGTCATATCACCAGTTTCATTTGCATTAAAATCTGTGGAACATACAGCTTCTGAATCAAATTCTTTGACCTGAAACTAAAAAATTATTTTGAGTTGAAATTTGTTGTTAATTTTGTATTTTTTAAGGTGAGGTTATGTTCAATAGTAACCGAGTATAACTTAGCAATAAACGATGAAATTGTCTCTTCATCCATTCACTACACTTGCAATAGATTTCTCACTTTAACCGGATTCATTATTTAACAGCACTTTGTCATTTTTTTAAAAAAAAACCAATAATAAAAGCAAAGTTTGCTTCGGCAACTGTACGGAATTGCAAACTGAACAAAACTGACAACAAAAAATTCGGTTTGTTGTTAAAACAACATACATTTGTATTGACAACAATCCAAAAATTGTTTGCACAGCAATCCCATTTTTCTCCGTGTTGTTTAAAAATCCCAGCGATGACGATGAAAATTGGTGTCTGTTCTTCGAGTTATATTATATGAATAAGAATATTTTAATTTTTTAAATGTCAATTAAATATTTTTTTCTGGAGGTCTTAATTCTCAACCCAAGAAGCACGTAATATAACCTCAATATCAAGGTAATATTACATGTAAGATTCGTAATATAACGTTGTAATATTACAGTAATCTTAAAATGTCCGCCTCAAGGTAATATTACCGGTAATGTTACTGTAATATTACGCGCTAATATTAAGGTAATATTACAGTAATATTTGAGTTATACGTTGTATTGGCATAAGGATCAGGTGTAGAAAAAGACTTGTTACTTTTCAAGAATTTTGTCAGACGTTTCTGCTCGTTTGTGAGCCTTCATCAGTGACGTTTATTTTCTATAAAAAATTTAACTTTTGTTTAACAATTTAATAAATACTACAAAAAAAGAATATATAAACGTAATAAAGAAGGATAATCGTATGTTTGTGTGAAAGAGACATAGTAAGGGAGGAAAAATAGAAAAAATATCGAAATTAAAATATCCCATTATATTTTTTTTTTTTTTATATATTTTCTTAAATTTTTTCTAACACCAACCTAATAATTGTTAAGAATTAATCCATTTGTGTTGAGCAAACTGCAATCGGTGATGATGAACACACACAGAAAAAACAATTATTTCGGAAACAAAGAATCACTACATTTTTTAACTTAGATTTTTTGGTAGAGTGTTTATACATAATCCTTATACAAAAAATTATTTCGTTGATGACTCTAGAAGGATTCTTGGGGAACTGACTTTGTGTTTGGTGGAAGGAGATGTCAACATATTGTCAAAATGTATAGAAAGGAAAATGCGAGATGAGGGCGGAAACTTATTTTATTTTATTTTTGTTTTTTTTTTTTTTTTTTTTTTTTTTTTAAAGATCTGTGAACTGGAGTGGTCGATTCTGACCGTAACTAATTTATTGTATGGTGTGGGGCGGTTAAGAGTAATATATATTTTTTCTGAGAGGATGTGAAATGTGTTGTTTGAAAATGACTTTAATTTTTATTTTATTTATTTATTTATTTTTTTTTTTTTTTTTTTTTTTTTTTTTTTTTGGAAGGGGGGTAAAAGTTTTGAATTCTATTTGGAATGTTTTTTTAAGAGAGGTTTATAAAATGAGGAAAGGTTGGCCGTGTCGTTTCTTTGATTTACTGAATGTGGATTACTAACAATGTGAGTCATTTCAAGGATCATTCTTTTTTTATAAAAATCAGATTTGTCAATTAATTTTGTGTCATTAAAGTTGAAGGTGTGATCCTCAAACCATGCGTGTTTTGTTAGAGACGTCCATTTTTTGGGGGGGTTATAAACATCAATCTTATGTTCTTTTATTCGTTGTTTGATATTTCTTTGTGTTGTGCCTACATAGGAACAGTTGCATTGTGAGCAAGGAATTTTGTAGACAACATTATTTATTTCGTCTGTAGGAATGATATCTTTCTGTGTTTTGAAAATGTGTTGTAAGTTATTAGTTGAGCGGAAAGCTGTCTTAATATTAAACGGTTTTAAAATGGAATTAAGTTTTTCGGAAAGGCCTTGTACATACGGTAGGGGGATGTAATTTTCATTTTCTCTGTTGGTTGTGGCGGGGTGTTGGATATCTGTTGTGATTCTAAGTTTGTGTTGGATGTTGTGCATCCTTTGTGTAATGATCTTTTGAGAGAAGTCAGGGGGATAATTATTTTGAGAGAGGATGACTTTAAGTTTTGCAATGTTTTCGGAATGAAATTGTTTATTAGCAAGTATCAAGCTTCTGTCTACTAAATTGTTAATGACATTAATTTTATATTTTAAAGGGTGATACGATAGGAAATTTAGTACTCTGTTTGAAGAAGTTGGTTTCCTGTACCAATTTGTTTTTATTTGCTCTCCGTCTCTTACTAGAAGCACGTCAAGGAAGGCAATTTTACCGTCATTTTCTTTTTCTACTGTAAATTGAAGTTTGTGATTATATCCATTAAAAACTGTCAAAACATGATCAATTTGATCAGTTGGTACCGCTGTAATTATATCATCTACATAACGGTAATAAAAGGGTAAGGGGTAGGGGAGTTGTGATAAGCACTCTGTTTCAAGATCGTCCATTACAATGTCAGCCATTATTGGTGATAGTGGGGAGCCCATAGGGAAACCTTCTTTTTGTTTAAAGGTCACATTATTAAAGTTGAAGAAAGAATTGCTGGTGCAAGCGCGGAGACCGTTGAGAAAATATTTTTCCTTTCTATACATTTTGACAATATGTTGACATCTCCTTCCACCAAACACAAAGTCAGTTCCCCAAGAATCCTTCTAGAGTCATCAACGAAATAATTTTTTGTATAAGGATTATGTATAAACACTCTACCAAAAAATCTAAGTTAAAAAATGTAGTGATTCTTTGTTTCCGAAATAATTGTTTTTTCTGTGTGTGTTCATCATCACCGATTGCAGTTTGCTCAACACAAATGGATTAATTCTTAACAATTAGGTTGGTGTTAGAAAAAATTTAAGAAAATATATAAAAAAAAAAAAAATATAATGGGATATTTTAATTTCGATATTTTTTCTATTTTTCCTCCCTTACTATGTCTCTTTCACACAAACATACGATTATCCTTCTTTATTACGTTTATATATTCTTTTTTTGTAGTATTTATTAAATTGTTAAACAAAAGTTAAATTTTTTATAGAAAATAAACGTCACTGATGAAGGCTCACAAACGAGCAGAAACGTCTGACAAAATTCTTGAAAAGTAACAAGTCTTTTTCTACACCTGATCCTTATGCCAATACAACGTATAACTCAAATATTATAAATACTAGGATCAATATAACTCCAACAATGAATACAATTACAGTAATATTGCAGTAATATTATACCGTAATATTAAGGTAATATTACAAGAGAATAGTACAGTAATATTATGGGAACATTTCTTTACGAAAAAAATCTACCCATCCAGGGAATCGAACCCCGAACTCAAAGCACACGAGTCCAGAGTTTTACCAACAAGCCAAATTGACTTATAATATATTTACGTTTTTTATGCTTTATGAATAACTCAAATCAGTCTGTAATATTACAGTAATATTCCCGGTAATATTACCTTGAGGCGGACATTTTAAGATCACTGTAAGATTACTGTAATATTACAGCGTTATATTACGAATCTCACGTGTAATATTACCTTGATATTGAGGATATATTACGTACGTGCTTCTTGGGAAGTATGAACCGCCTTAAAGATTACGAATCTTGTTTTATTAACCTTTTTTCATATTTGAATTAAATGCAAAAATAAATCTTTAATTTTGTGATTCGCTTTCGAGTACGAGCTATTTTTAAGTTTAATCAATTTGAAAAAACTGTCCAGAAAAAATAAATTAAAAAAGTAAATGAGAAACAAATTGAAATGAGTAATTTCTTCACGCGGATCTAGTTTATGTTATAAAAAAAGTGGGTGTTGAAAGGAAGACGCAATCCTTTAATGTCAAAGGTTAGGTGAACCATATAATAATGAGGCAAGAGAGTGACGTGTAAAATATGACACATAATATTGAGCGGAATCATCAGACATAAGAGTTGATGATTTCGTGTCTTGGGATTGCTTGATGATAATAATATATGTATAATGATCCGTTAAATATGCAGATATCGAAACTCAAAGTCACATCCGTGCATCTTCTTGACATTTGGATTACATTCTCTTGGAACTTTTTAATATGACTAATAAATACATTTACCTGACTGCTCTAAAGAAGTAGGAGCGTGAAAAATGTCCAAGCTAACCTGTTGTTTCTGATACTTTGCAGGTTAAAGTGTGACTCAGGATGGTGTCGAGACGAAAAATACTTTCCCGATCGAGGGACAACCTGGCGGACACACAGTATGAAGAACAGGAAGAAGAGGACGTCTGGTATAATTTAGACAAGTTGTTTAAGGTAATTTTTTTATTACACTACTATTGTTCTTTGAGCATTCAATTTTTTCTACGCTATCTATTATGAGATGCTTTAATTTTCTTTAAAGATATCTCTTTTAAGGCTTCATTTATTATTTATTTCCCTGTCATTGACAAATATTTTTTTAACTTTGATAAAGCAAATTTTCTGATATAATAGTAAAATTTCAATTTTGTTAACATACTTTTAATTACTATTTTTATGTTCTGATTAATCAAATAATTTTTTAATAGACCTGTTTACTTTTAATCGTAATTAAATTTTTTTTATGTTTATTGAATTAAATTTCATTTTAATTCGTCAAGTGATTTATTCAATTCAAGAAGCAAAATTTGTATTCTTATATGTCAAAAATTATATTGAAATGTATAATTTTATTAATTTTTCATGGTAAAATCAGTAAATTGGAAAGATATGGCTGTTGTGGAAATATTTTAAATTTTGACTGAGAGGAAAAGTTGCAAAGGGTATTAAATTTTACGTCAACTGACCTCAAGTTCAAGGGATTGTATATATCAATTTTGTAATATATTTTATGGAAACTAAACTACAACCAATCCTGTTACTATAAATAAAGTCGGGAAGTACTCAATATTCTTCCAATTTTCATGGGCTTTATTTTTCAAATTTATGTACACAATTTTAAATACGTAAATTTAAAAATATTTAATTTCATTACGATAAAACATAACTTTATACCGTATTATTTTCTTCTGTTTTCAAAACTAAATTATTATTTTAATACATTGATTTAAAAAATTCAATAATTGTTTTTTTTATACAATTTTTATAAACAGTAGCTTATTTTACTTCGTAAAACATTCTCTACATTCGAAATTTTTTCAATGTTGTTAAAATTATTTTCTTCAAAAATTATAAACAAATAAAATTTTTTTTTTCGCCATTGACATGAAAAAGTGTCTTTTTTGTGCTTGTTTTAGGCAGATAAAGTAGCACTTTTTAAGACAGTTTGGGCCAACTGCCTAAAAAAGACTTTTTTAGGCAGAAAACTGCCCTATAAAGTCTTTTTTAGGCAGTTGTTAATTTTTGCATAATTTTTGTTTTGCTTTTATTTTATTTATCAATTTTTATTATTTTATTTTATATACTATTTCATATATATTATATTATATATTATATATCACTTTTTCATAACAATGGCGAAAAAAATAGCGTATGTGGCTCGCACGTAGTAATTTTTAGGTTCGGATGATTTCAATACTCGTTGTCTGTGCGACTTCGGTTCGACTTGGCTGGCTTTCGGCTCGCCTTCGTCTCACCTACGTCGCACTAACGACAGCTCGTACTGAAAATTACATCCTCACCTAAAAAGTACTACTTTACGTGCTTGCCACATAATATACAATTATTAACTAAATTTTTAACAACATTCTTTTAACAATATTAAAAAATTATCATTGCAAAGGATGTTTCAATGATTTAAATAAATTATTGTTTATAAAAATTGGATAAAAATTGCGATTTTTGTTTGAGCTGAAAGAAAAAAATGAAAACGTTAAAAAATAATTATTTGACGAAAGAAATTGACTCAATATCATTTTTTCTCAAAAGTGTATATCTAGATCTTCCAAAATTGATTGGAATTAATTTTTTTTGTAATATTTTGCTAATGTTTGACACTTGCACTCAAATCTCTCTTGGACTTACCTTAATTTGAGAAAAACTTGACTGACTGAAAAAGACTTTCACTACTAATACCAGATATTACAAGAATTGTAATTATTGTATGTCCGAGTCCGACAATAATTTACTTTTATTATACTGGCACAAAAATTACAAGACGTCTTGATAAACCCCGTATTTATAATTTATACTACAATAATAAACAAATTTAGGACGATTATAATAAAAACATTAAATTCACTTCCGATTATCACTCTAATAAAAAGGCACTAACCTGGTAAAAAAAATATTCTTCGTTTGAAAGAATTCCTCTCATTTTTATACAATTTTTCCTATATACAATATGATACTTATATTAAAAGAAAATAAATAATTTTCTCGAAGCACATGTCATCCAAATTTAGGTTATGTTTTTGACTGAAAAACAAATCATGCGCACAAATCAAAGATGTACAAACTTAAAATAAAAAAAGGAACATACTTTTCAAGTTGTAGTTAGCTCAATATATATTTAAAAGAGAATTCTCAATTTTTCACAATTTATAAAAACATTTCGCTGATGCTGACAACTAAAAAGAATCACGACTGACGCCATAAATATGACATTACGCATGTGCAAATACATATTATATATAGTAAATTCTGTCAAAAAGTAGAGGAATATTCTTCAACCGATAAGTAATGGGCGTTTTCGGCAGATGCTCCGGAGTGCTTTGGAGCATTTTTTGATTGACTGGATCCAATGAAATTAATAGGTGATTGGACTATAAAATGCTCCGGAGTATTCCTGGAGCATCTGCCGAAAACGCCTATTATTTTCATAATGTAACCGAAAAGTTAAAGTCAACTTGTAATTACAATTTTCTTAGGCGTTTTCGGCAGATGCTCCAGGAATACTCCGGAGCATTTTATGGTCCAATCACCTATTAATTCCATTGGATCCAGTCAATCAAAAAATGCTCCAGAGCACTACGGAGCATCTCCGTTATACGTTATACGTTACAATAAATATAATTTATCACAATATTCTCTAACGGCGTCGACATACGGATATTCAGGATGTCCTGAAATATCCGATGTTGTGGCGGTTTTTAAAATATATTTTTACGAAAAAAAGTAAATTTGTGTTGAAATAAAAATTGTTCAAGAATTGGATAAGAAGACATTATAGTTAAATTAAAAAATCTTAATTTTAAGAGTAACAAAAGCAATAAATAAATCAATTAAAATAATGTTAGTAAATAAATTCAAAAAACGTAAAACAATTGTGTAAAACGATAATTGATATGGTTAATTTTTCTAATATATAATTGTAAAATGAAACTTATTGTAAAAGGTCTTAATAAATAAAAATTTTATTGTTCGATTATTAAACTGAAACTAAGAGATTAAATAATAAAAAAATTGTATACTTTCTCGCTGCCTTAAAAGGTCTCAGACAAATTTTAATAAGAATTAATGTTCTGAAAATATATTATAGTACAAAATTCATCGAATAATATACGTAAAGTGCAGAAAGTTGAATTTATTACGGAACTAGGAAGCACTTAAAATCGATTGTAATCAAATACACGAATCTTACAGTTAGACAAGAAATAAATTTTGCCTTTATATATATAGATATAAATTTTGTAACTTAATACGGGGTGCGTCTTAGGTTTCAGATAAATATGTAAGTAAATTTTTTTTAACCAATGTAATTATTTATTCATTAAAAATATCATGTTTTTGTAAAACAAAATTTCTATATCACTTGAAATGTATGATTACAACAGAATCAGAAAAATTTTAAGGTTTACCCACGGTTACTTAAGGTCAGTTTCATATTTACGATCTTATATTTTTCAAAGATTTTGAAATTAACTTAAAATTATTGTTATATAGGTACTTAAATTAATTTTGTCAATAATAATGAGAATTATTATTTTTATAAATAATTGTGTGCAAAAATTTGGTTTATATATAAAGCCTATAAAGACTTCTTTGTTCATAATGTGAAGATTAACCCAATTTTATCGCCTAAATATAAAAATACAATTTGGATATTTTTTATAAATTTACTTTAAATTTTCCATCCAAAAGATTAGCATTTAAATAGCAAACAAGAAGTTGAATAAAAATAATAATAATATTTTTTTTACATTCTTTAAAATTATTTAGCGGCTAAAATATGATTTTTTTATTATAAAAATACTTGGGTCTTAAAAAAATTAATATCATTTAAAAAATATTAATCATTTTCACATTATAAATAATTCTTTAGTATATTATTAATTAATTAATCATAATAAAATTTTTTAATAAACTATAATTATTATTAATTACTAATTAATTTAACTTTTTATTTTTGCTTACAAAAGTAATAATTTAAAAAAAATATTTCAATTCAAGAACCATTTTCTTTCGTGGGAGGATTCAAAATTTCGAAATATATATTACATTTTAAGCAAAAAATACATAAATAACTTTTTTTTAAAAATTAATATTTATGAATAATAAAATAAATAATAACCTAAAACACAACAACTTATTCCTTGTACACCTTCTTGCTAATTTTCATAATAGTTAGACCGTATATTGCAACTAAACAGTGTCAACTAAAAATTTGAACAATCGTACTTTCATTTTAACACTTAAATTCGTATCACACTATACACGAGAATTTTATCTTAGAAAGTGAATCTCAAAAAAAAGTTACACTTTCAGAGATGTTATACATTTAAAGATTTCCACCTTCTAGTGTGAAGCAAGATCTTATTTTTAAAAGAGCAAGAATTACTTTCTGTACATATCGTTCAACTAGTTTTTAAATATATGTCAATGAAATTAAAAATCTATCATTCCCGTAAAGTTTTTTTTTTAAATATTTAGAATATATTAAAAATAAATTAAAATTCAAAATAAAAAAATATTTTTAATTAAATTTTATTGCAAACTAATTAAAGAAATTTCTTTTTCAGGATCACATACAAGAAGTTTTAGATAAATGGAATCAAATAGATGATGAAATATGGGCGAAAGTAATTGTCTTTGAAAGAAACAGAAGGGTAGCGAAAGCATATGCGAGAGCACCTGTCCTCACTGTAAATGGGTCAAACGATGGCTTCGACGGTTTCAGGTAACTATTTTCATATACCTTATATTCCACGATTTTAACATTCTTCTAGATTCAAGAGAAGATTATTGAAATTTCATAATTTATAGAAAGTTACACTCGCTTTAAAATAAAAAATTCCTTTTTTTCTATATTCAAATTCAGCCGTAAATAGTTTCAAAGAAATATTTTCCAACTATAATTTTGAATTTTTTATTTAGTCCAACACTTTTACATAAAAGTAAAAGCGCCATTTAGTAAGGGATAGACTTTAAAGTTATTAATTTATTCATAAGTATTAGAATTTCTTAATCATTACATTTTTCCTGAAACGAAAAACTGAAAACTAAATTTGTAATTTATTTTTATTTATATTTATGCTTTTCTATATATTATAACAGAGTCTTAATTTTTAGTATATATTCATAATTAATACAATTCTTAATAACTAATAATATTTTTACGATTTTAATTCTAAAAAGTACATACGAAAGAGAAGTGATTTTGATTTGTTTTCAAAAATTATGTAAAATAATTTAGAAATCCAATTACATGTAAAACATGTAAAATATATGATTATTTCGGAACAGTCAATTGAATATTCCCTTTATAATACAAAAATGATTAATCAAATATATTTTTTAGTAAGGGAATTTAATCTATTTATGTGAAAAGAACGAGGTGACAATATTGCCGATGGGAAGAAGAAACTTGTATATATATAGTTTCTAAAAGACAAGTAAAAAGAATGATCGACACGGATATTTCAATTACGTTTAAAGATTTCTACTCTCAATTGAAGAAACGTACTGATCAGTGCAACTCGCAACTTCCGGGACTCAAAGTCGTATAGATATTAGATCCTATCGAATTTCACGTTCACAAGAAACCACATTAATGCAAATCACGTTTCCCATCACGAATTCCAATATGTAATTGACAATCTGCTCAAAATAAGAATACCGAAGTAAAACATGTCATTGGAAAAATGCCATTATTTCTTTTTGAAACGAGTTGTCTCAGGAGTCATTGAACGATTACGATTTGCTTTCATTGAAATGGTGCCAAGTAAACAAGTCTAGTTGCTTGAAAAAAATTTTTAAAGAGGTCTAACTGGTTTCACTTTTTTTACAAAAGGAATTGCTTTTCAAACTACTTGTTAATTTACTTAAACCTTTCATTCGACAATTCAACTTTGACAATTAAATTCTGACTCCAGTTCCTTAATATATTTCAAACCCAACAAAAATTATTTTATCATTTTTCATAAACTAAAATCCAATTTTTCGAATATATGTTGTACAATTTTTTATATTTCACTTCTTTATAATGTATGTAGTGAATGTAATTTAAAAAAAAATACTTCTCTTTTCTTTCTTTGAAATGATTTAATATTTTCTAGAATAAATTTGCTAGTAAAATTAGTCTTTCTTAGCTCTCTCTTAGAGACACTTAGCGCTATTATACCTTGTTAACACTTTCGCCTTTCACGCCAAGTTAAAAATTTTTCACGCTATACTCAATGATCTAGAATTGCGACTTTAAAATTAAAAGTTACAATTTTTTTTACATTTAACAGAAAGTGGTAAATATTTTTTAAAACAGATAAATAAATTAAAATTAGTTAAATGAGTTTTCTTACTGTTCGTAAGAATGAGACTACAGTATAAAAAAAATTGTTATAGCAAACATAAAATTTAATGAGCTTGACATCTTTTTGTAAAGGGTAAAAATGGAAATTATAAATATAAAACTAGTCCATATACAGGTATATATACCTCTTTGCATATTTGCTGGAAAAAACATGATTTTTTATCTTTTGAAACAGTTACTGAAAGTTGCGAAAATATTTCAGCTTCACTAGGACACTTTTTTTTACTTATGGCATGATATTCTTCATATTTTTAATTGTTTTCACTGCTAATCAAGACTGAAAGAATCCATCAGATATAAATTTATTTTTTTTTAGAAAAATAGAATTCTATGTCATACATATCTTTTATTATGTTTTTTTATGATAATGACTCTTCATATTTTATTTTCATAAATTATTTTATAAACAAATTTTTCTAGAAATAAAATTGAAATAAATAGTATATTATGTGGCAAGCACGTAAAGTAGTACTTTTTAGGTGAGGATGTAATTTTCAGTACGAGCTGTCGTTAGTGCGACGTAGGTGAGACGAAGGCGAGCTGTAGGTGAGATGAAGACGAGCCGAAGGCGAGTCGAGTCGAGCCGAAAGCGAGCCGAGTCGAACCGAAGTCGCACAGACAGCGAGTATTGAAATCATCCGAACCTAAAAATTACTACGTGCGAGCCACATACGCTATTTTTTTCGCCATTGTTATGAAAAAGTGAAACAATTTTAAAGAAAAAAAATAATAAAAATTGATAAATAAAATAAAAGCAAAAAAAAAAATTATGCAAAAATTAACAACTGCCTAAAAAAGACTTTATAGGGCAGTTTACTGCCTAAAAAAGACTTTATACGGCAGTTTGCTGCCTAAAAAAGTCTTTTTTAGGCAGTTGGCCCAAACTGCCTTAAAAAGTGCTACTTTATCTGCCCAAAACAGGCACAAAAAAGACACTTTTTCATGTCAATGGCGAAAAAACAATTTTTTATTCGGGTAAAATTTTCAAACTGTTTTTATTTTTTGTTTTTTAAAATATTTATTTATTTAATTAATATATACTTAATAATATACTATTGACAAGAACAAATTTAAAAATAAATAATAAAAATATTTTAATACAAATTTTAAAGAGAAAATCATTATTGTACGCTGGTATTAAAAAAACTAACGATGAAGAACGCTATTATAATAACATTAACCGTATAATTATCGCAAACTTTCAATTTAACGATAAACATAATCTTTAGAAATGTCTGCATATTTAAAAAGAATAGGTCCAGATCAGATTCCAGTTTTAAAAACATGTAAATGGCATTTAATTAATAGTTATATTAATCAGAAAGTGAATTTTAATATTTTAATAATCATCAATATAATAAATTAATAAACCAACCAAATTGTTCATTTCAATATAATTGAAAATATTTCTTTGACAAATTTCAGGATAGGACTCTGTGGATTTGACAATCCCATGAGGGATGCAAAAACAGACGAGGCCAAAAGGCATATAAATCAGGGAGTAAAAATAAAAATGGACGAGCAAGGTAACATCCTCATAAAAAGGTTGTGCAAAAGTAACGTCTACGTTAGAGCCACAAAGCAAGATGACAACGCAATTGGTTCAGAAATTTTACGAAATCCTCAAGGTGCTCTAGAACATGAAAAACCGGGAAAGGTATGAATGTGTAAAAAAATTATTTTACCTATATAGATTAGTGACGCTCTCGATTCAGATGATTAATTTTATTTGTTTAAACTCCCTTAATTATAGCATGTATTTATTTTCTTTCTTTCATTCTAACTGCAAAGAAAAAAAAAGTCTTGAACGAATGAATGACACTTTCTTTTCATTTACAGTTGTTTGATATGAATAAGTTTCAAACAAATTTAGCCCGAGAGACGAGAAGAGCATATCCAGATAGACGAAGACTGGAAACACAATGTCTCAGCGCCATAGTTTTCGTTCTTTCAGAAAACGATGTGTTGCAATCTCCAATTTGGATCCTCATTGTCAATGTTGTTGGATTGGATATGTTGAAGTCAAAACTACCACCAGGTAATAAAAATAAATCAATAAAATTTTGAAGAAAATACTTAAGATAAAAGCCCTTTTCTTCAAGTGACTTTTTAGAGCACATTTCTGAGATTCTACTTTGAGTTTTAATTTTTATTAACTCTCAACTTTTTATTTTTCATTTTTTCTTTTTCATTGACAAAATAACGTTATTTGAAATGAATCATAAAATTTAAAAATGACTTACGAAATAACCCATTTTTTAAAGATATATTTCTGTAGAAAGTTTAAAGATAAAATGAAAAAAATGATTTTTAGTAATGGCGATGCAGAGGCCCGTAGACATTAAGAATCGACCTAGAATTCCAATTCCGGATGAGGATCCCTACAGCGTGGCAGGGATATCCTCATCCTCAGGACCAAGTGACACCTTACAAACCAGTAGAGATTCCCGGGAACAAATTTACGTTCAATCGGGTTATCAGCAGCGGCGAACCGAAAAACCTCCTAAGCTTCCTCCAAGAGAAAATCTCTATGGCCATGACATTCCCAAGGTAACTAATAAATAAATAAATAAAATCGCCAAATTTCAATTTAGTTTTGTTTTTTTAATTCATGGAGATTTCACGTATAATAAATAAAAAGAAAAAATTATCTAACTTTTACAGCCCGACTATGACGACCTTGAGGATGATTATCGAAATTCAGTGAGACCACCAGTAATATCTAATGGCGAGAAGAAGAGTAAAAAGGATGACAATAAAAAATACGGTTTGTATAATCATTAACATAATTATTTTCAAAGTGAGAAAAAAAGGATAATAAGTAAAAAAATGTTCACCTTGAAAGTTACATAGAATTCTTTCACAATCTAGAGGATGCTAGATACTTAATAATCCTTTCAACCATCTATATTTTGTAACTGGTGGCCATAGAATATGAATTAGTCTTTCGCGAATCCATGTCAATGTTGATGCTGCAAGTAGGGAATCAAAACATATATATTATTATGTTCTACTTTTTTCAATACTTCTAAATATATCAGATGAAATTATCAATCACGTTCTAAATATAGTTTACTTTCTTCGACTGGAATTAGAAATCTGTTTTCCATTACAAAAAATATTTTTTTATAAAATAAATAATTTCTACTTCTTGGACCAAGGGCCATAAAATTCAAAAAATAAATAAAGATCATTCAAAAAACTTCCAAATAAAATAAAGTAAACTTTAAAAAGATTAGATTTTTCATTTACAGTACACACATGAAAAAAGGTTTCCAATTTTCCAAAACATAATGATTAAAATTAATTTCATGTTTTACAAAGTCAAATTTATGTTAGTTTCAGAATTATAAAACACGTAAAAAATCGTAATAACCTAAACTTTGCAACTTTGTATTTTGATAATGAGTAAATAAATTATAAAATTTTATAAATGCGACTTATTACATTAGAAATGAATTTGAAATAAGATTTTGGAAGAATGGTTTACAAATATTGTATACCTGTACCATAGAAGGTGTTTGCAAAAATTAAAAACTTGTTTTTGGATAATACCATGACTGAATAGGAGATTAATTATCCGAACTTTCACTTCGAACCGACGTATTTGACATATCGACTTGAGACTCGTGTTTGAGACGTACATTTATTATTACACATGAAACACGCGCACCGTATATATATGTATGTACAATTATCACAAGTGAAATGCCGCAAGAGAATGTCAAACAATAATGTATTTACTATTAAATAAAATATAAATATTATCCACGTATTTATTTCTTAGAATTTTCTCAAACAAATTTTTCGTATTCTAAAGGATGCATTTTATTTTCAGACGATCCTTACTATTGTGGTTTGAGAGCGCGAGTTCCTAATTTTGTAAAAATGGCAAAGAATGGTCACGCTAAACATACGATAATAACTTCTCCTTATGGACATGCTAGACCACAACAAGCACCAACTTACATTGCCACTGGATATGTTCATGCACATTCTGGTCAAATATATGGACATCATGTTCCAATTCCAGAAAAATACCAGAAAAAACCCTCGATCATGTACCATGCCAGAAGTATGGAAAGCGGTCTCGGTACGTACGTACATTCTTATTTTCAAAAATCAGGATTTTAAAAATCTCTTATCTACCAGGAAACCTATCTACACGGAAAGAAAAAGTGTTAACAAATATTTACGTAGTTTATTGGATAAATTCTCAGCTTTCTAATCAAAATTATAATAAACATCTTCAAGGAAGGAAGAGGGGTTAAAAATAAAAAATAAGGGTTAATTTAGAAAAAAATTAAATTAAAAATTTTCTGTTAAAAATTTTTTTTTTTTGCATTAAAAACTACATGAAAACTGCTTTATAGACCTATTTAAAATTAAAATTTATAAAATTGAGGAAAAATGTATAATGTACATTGTTACTTAAAATGTCAAAATTTCAACCTCCATTACTTTTTGCAATTTTTTTTAAACGATCCAATATTTTAAGGATTCGTTACTCTTCATAAAGAACAATAATTTGACAAAATAATAACCCAATCCAATAACTTTAAATTAGGAGTGACTTACTTCTCAAAGAATGCCTCATTTGAGGAAAATTTTGTTTAAATTCTCAATACATGAATTTAGACACTTCTTTGATTACTGCTAATCTTAAATAATCAATAATTCTAGAAAATGCCTCAAATCTTAAATACAACAATAATTAAACAACAATAACTGTACAAATTATTTAAAGAATAGTGTATATTTATTAATAGTAGACATATTTTTGGAAAATTATAAAATTTTTTAACTAGTATTTTTTTGTGGCTAATGTGAGAAAACATTTTTGATGTTTGAATTTATAGAATTTTTTAAATTTGAAAATTTTATTGTGTTCATAAAAGACATAAAATACTAGTAAACTAAGAAAACACATTTTTACAGCAATTTATTTATCACGTATTTTTATATGAAAAACTAATTATTGAAATTTATTGTTTTTAAAAAATACTTCTCTGAAAATTGAACTGTTTTTAAAGAAACATCATAATATTAAGAAAAAAATTTCTTTAAATCATTAATCTTTTTGTCCTCTTCAAAAAAAAGAATACAATACCTAATGAAGATCAATTTGTTTTAACAAATCTAAGAAAAATTAAAAATTGAACTATTTTAAAGAATATTAATATACTGTAATTTTTCCAAAAATAAAATTAAAATAAATTTACTTGCAAAATATACAGAATTTTTAAAAATTACATAGAAATTAAATTCTGTACTATATTTGTAAGAAAGGTTTGACTGACTTTTATTTGAAAAGTACAATAAAAAACACAACCATAGTGGCTAATTATTGAGCTTCCTGATTGATTTTTTTTATTTCCTGAGAAAATGATAAAAATCGTCAAGATGATAACTAATTTTTAAATGTTCTTTTAGATATAGACGAGCGAATTGAGTCTCCCTACAATCACATTTATGGCCGATTACCGATTCCAACGCGTGGCGTGATACCTCCCGCACCTCGCGCCATGTACATCGGAGAATGGGACTAAATTTTAAGTTAATATCTCAGCGTATTTGTATTTAAAGCCTGTATATTGTTAATATACCACATAAATACTCATATTTTTTATGCCAGCACCAGAGTCGTTCTTAATTTTTTTTCTTATTTTTTTTATTATAATAATTATAGGCAATTAATGTTAAACTTTTAATAATAAATCAGATGTAAGTATGTATAGGTCCATCTCGATAAGAATTACAAATATAAAACAATGTTTCTAATAATCATTGACTCTAGGATCTTACACTGTAAAAGCTACGCCTACACTTAGTACCATCGAGAATATTGTAAGCAATAATACATTTATAAAATGATCTTTTTTGCGAGCGAACGTGATGTAAAAAAATTTTTGAAGGCTAGTGCTACGTTGGTAAAAAATTCCATGAGATTTCATTGAATTGTGTATCCTTAGAGAATGAAGAGAAACACTAGAAACGGTTACATTTTTGTAAACGAACTTTTTTTATATATAAAAAAAATCGATTTATCAAGCGATTTTAAAATGTGTACATACTACATAAAAAAAATAGTTGATAATTATTAATTTTCTTCCTCTTTATTTATTACTTGCTTACATCGTTCGGTGAAAAAAAAATTTTTTTCCCCATCACTCGTAGGTAAGAGAATATCATTAAACTTTAATTTTTCATATCTTCTCACATGTTATTAAAAACCTCGCGCATTTCAATCATTCAGAGAAAATAGAAGATATCATATTTTCTGTATTCGAAACAATTTTATACTTACAAGCTATAAACCATCTCACCATTATTGCCTTGTGCAAAATATAAATCTGTTTTTTATAAAAATTATACATTTTTTAATATTAGGATGCTGACTAAATATAAAAAGATAAATGGAAAACTTGATTAAAAAGTCATTAACAATTTACTTAAAAAAACACTCAGCTGTAAAAAAAAGCTAAGCATGATTGAAGAATTATTCAGAACTATCACTTTTGTGCTTAAAAACTCATAGTAAAACTTGATTTTCATACTTGTAAAAAATAAGACATATTGTTTCTGATAAGACAGAAGTCTCTTTTATTCAGAAAAGAGAAACTTTCGAGAGTCACTTCAAATACCTCTATTCTTAAGATCTTTCACTTTATAGATTCTAACTAGCCAATGTTCCGTTGTGTACGCTTCTTCTAGTGTTTCCAATTCAAAGTCTTTATTTCCAATTTCCATATTTCTAACTCTATCGTATCCAGATGGTTTTCCTGAAAAACGAAAATAAAATGTATAAATTATGTCAAGTTTTCTAAAACATAAAACTAACAAAATTAACTTATATAAGTTTTATAGAAATAAATAAGAAATGTTATAATAAGACTGTCATTTTTTATTTCAAACTTCTATATCACAAACATTTATTTCCACTTCAAGAAATATTGTTATATGTAAGAGAAAATAATTTTAAAAATACCTAAAAATTTTAGCATAATAAACTGATTTATAATCACAAATTAATAAATTGAAGTAAATAATTATAGAAATATACCTCCTTCTGTATACACTTGACCAAAACGATAATAGCACATTTTGTACATAAGGCAGTTCAGCAAAGTGGGTGTTCCTTCTTTATCAACTCTAAATTCTCCGGCAGGATTATAATAATCCCATTCACTTATTGATTTTCCTTTTTCTGTACTACCGGCAATCCTCACCATCCAAAGAAACTTGTTTAGATCTGAAAAATTCAAAATCGATAAATAAGTAAATATTCAATAATCAAGAATGAATATGTAAATGAGAGAAAGGATTTGGAAAAAAACAAAGCCTTACCATCCGAAGAATAACCTGTCAAACCACCAAAAATCACAAGTACATAATTCACATCCAGCTCTCTCATAATTTCAAAAGCTTTTTCTTCAGAACTTGCCATTGCTTGACCAACTCTCGATATATGAGTATTATTCCAAGTATTATTGTCCACTAAAATTGTACGATTCGCCATTGCCGTTATTTGATATCCATAATCCCACCATGACATCACTTTTGCGTCCTAGAAGTATGGGAAATATTTATTTTAACACTTTATTTCATTCTCAAGTTTCTTTTGAAAAAGACTTTTTTTATTATTTAAAAAAGAATATTACTTCTGGTGTGTTCATACGGAGCCAATAGTAGGCTTCTCTAAAGTCATCAAAAATCATTCGACCTCCGTCAGGTGATCGAGCGGATAAAACTATACTTGGAGAACTATAAGCTTCAACTGTGACCCATGTGCAATGGAAAGTGTAAGAAAAGAAGAGAACACACATTATAATCACAAAAAATGTGGCGATCTGAAATAAGAGCAATAATAATTATTCATTTTAAAAGGGTTTTACTTTCGTTTGAGTTGTATTTTTTATTTTCAAAATCATATTTATTATATATTTATTAATAAACTAACAATAACCGGACATAAACTAATAAATTAATGTTACATTAATTTATTAATATTAAAATAAGTAATAGTGTTTCAGGTAAAATTTACTATGTTGACAAACATCGCATTCATTATTATTAACTATTTCAAATATTAAATTAATTAATTAATTTCTTTAATAAAAGAATATAATGCTTAGACAAAATTTCCAGTTTAAATTCAGTACAACAGATATGTAAAATAATTTTTCAATTTCTTTTATCTTGAAAGTTTTACAACTCTGATTTATGGAAATTAAGGGGAGACACTACCTTTAATTTAACCCCTTTAAATTTTAATGATTGTTCGATGTTATATTTTTTTATTGCATCATTTTGGTCCTAAAAACATACAACGTGGTCAAAAAAAGAAAGTCTTAATTTTTTACCATTTTAGAGTATATTTTATAGTTTTGAAAAAATTAAGATTTTTCGAAATGGAATTACTTTCACAATTATGACAATTTTTCATCGTCAATTTTTTACAAACTATTTTAATGATTTTTTAGAATCTCTCGCATGGATTTTCAAAATTTTTAAGATTTAACACAAAGAAAGGAAAAAATGAATTGAAATTTCATTAATCTTTCCTCTTAAATATTTAACTACTTTTACAATTTCGAATATTTTTTATCGCCAATTTTTTTACACACTTTTTAAAGACTCTTTAGAATCTCTCGCATGACTTTTCAAAAATTTCATTTTTTAAAAAAAACAAATTCTAAAATGGTCAAAAATTAAGATTTTCTTTTTTTGACCACCTTGTATGTTTTTAGGACCAAAATGATGCAATAAAAAAATATAACATCCTGTTATAACTAAAATTTTTTTAATTAAAATAATTCTGAAGATTTAAATATGTACATAAAATGTTTCAAAAAGTCTAACTTAATAATAAATCTTCAAATTATTTCTTGATAAAAATATCTAGTTTTTCTTCAATATTATTTAATCAAATAATTGAAATTATCTCAGGCTTCACAGCATAAAATTTGCTAAAAAAGGGGAATAGGGGAAATTTTGTTTGAAAAAAGGGACAAATAGGGTAAAATCTAAATGTATATCTTCCTTGACCAAAATGTTTTAAAATTTGTAATTTAGTTAAATTAAATAAAAAAAAAAATTTAATTAATTTTCTGATAAAATAAAATTTTCAATCTTCCTAATTCAGGCCTCGGATTGACTATAGAAAGAGAAAGAAGTCGTTTTAGTCGATTTTCATTAAAACAGAAAAGTCTTATAAAAATAAGTCGAAATAGTCGCATTCATTGTAAAAAGTCGATAAAAGTCGAAAAAGTCGTGCAATCCGATTCTTGTAATTATTTGGTTCAAATTTGGACTTTTATTAAATATCCCATTATTTGAATTTCAAGATAAAATAGGGGAAATGAGTGAAAAAAGGGAAATGTTTTTAAAATAGAGGAAAAATAGGGGAATAGAGGAAAGACTGTAAAGCCTGTTATCAATTTCAGATAGATTTACAAAAAGTTTTCTAATGTCAATAATTCATAGAATATTGTTGAGTAAAAGAGTTTAAAGAATTGAATTAGAATAATTCTCAAGATTTGAATTAATAAAATTTGTTTTATGAAAATCAAAATTAAAAATAAATATTCAAAAATTATTCAAAGCTACATTCCAAATTCTTTTATATTAGTAATTTTTGATTTCCACTTTTTGAAGATAAAAGCATGCTTTATCAAAACTTACTTCACTTCTCAGTACGTAATTGCTTTCGAATTTCTTGGATTTTTTATCAGTGACTTTTCCACTTTCAATTTGTTTCATATACGTAAGCAACAAAGCGGAAGCACCGATTCCTCCTAAAATGCACATAACTGGCGCCAGCACCAACATCAAACGCACCATGACTCCCTGTAAATAAAAATAATTCAATAGTAAACTAATGTTAATCTTCGTTAATTTATCAATATTTATTTTAACTGATGATTATGTTTATATCATAAAAATTCTTGCGCCCTTATAAAGGAAAAATTAGTTTTTACTAAAAAATACTTCATTTTCTGATAAATTGTTTAATTCGTTTTTAACTATTTAATTTAAGAAGCTAAATAAAAATAGAGAAAAATATGCTAAAAAAATTGTTTCAGTATTTCTAAAAATCGCTATATACAATTATTGATATTAATGATTCTACCAAATTATATTAAAATCGGTCAAAGCAATAAAAAATAGAATAACAGATAAAGTAAAAAAATAGATGTCAAGAAATAAATTTATCCGTTGGTAGACGTATTATAGTAGATAAAAATGAGTAGAAATTAAATTTTAATAAAATAAATCTCACCGCAAAGTAAAGACTGGTAGCACCATAGAGAATAAGAAAAATATTTGAATCTGTCAACTTGGAGAAGCAAAAGTATAAACCCGCTGGAAATAAGAACACCAGAATTTGTAAGTCAAAGTAGAATGAACTCCATGAGGTTGGCTGATGTTCCGAAACAGAGGCAATAATTGGAATGTGATTCTTAGCATAAGAAGGATCCAAAAGGGAATAAAATCGACCAGTCCAGGGAGATATTTTACCTGAAAGTAAAAAAAAACATAAAATTATAGTTTAAAAAGTATTTTTCTCTAACTAACACATAATGTATTTGAAATTTTTAAAATTCTTACCAGTAAAAGTCAAAATTGCACCAAGTACGAGAGATACACTCACAGTAGAAACAACAAGGCCACGGAAAAGTATTTCAAAGTCAGTTTCAGAGAGTTTGCTACGTAAATAATCCACCAAAGCGTGAATCTGACATAAGCCGAAAACTCCTATTGCCTATTAATTTTAGAAAATTATAAATATTAAAAACATAAAAAATTATAATACTTATTTTTAAAAAATTACCAGCATATGTTCTGAACTTTGAACTGGTTGAAATCCAACAAATGGAATTTGCATTGAGAGAATTGTTCCTAGACAATACAAAACGCTGTAGGCAACGTAAATTCTGTGCGTGAATCTGCCAGTTACCATCAACGTCAATACATGAAGAGGAATGAGATTAATTAAAAAGACATATCCTCCCCAAGATGAAACCATATAAAAGTACGCAAGTGCTGCACACGTTGACCAAAATATAGCTCCTGTTTTAACAGCTTTAATCCACATATAGTAAGTGAAAAGCATACAAAATATTGCAATTCCCTCATTATCATATGAGCCTGCAACGGAACGAGATATATATCCAGGAACAATGGCAATCATAGACGCTGCCAATAATCCTGAAGCAGAATCCTGAAAAACATATTATTCAATGGTTATAAAGCCAACAAAAATGATAAAAAAAAACACTCATTCTTAATAATCCGAAACTGAACCAGCTTCCTCTTTAGAAATTTATTGCAATATTCTAAAAAAATACAAAAAGAAAAATCTAACTTTCTGAATTATAACAAAATTAAAAATTCTATAAAAAGACTCACCAAAAACGTGTATAAATTTCTAAATTTTGCCAAAATTTCAATTTATAACCAATAAACAATTTCGAAGTCAATCCAATATAAAAAACAAATACATATAATATATGCATTGAAATCCAAAGTCATCATGAAAATATAAAAAAAAATAAATAAAAAAATTTTATTTAATAAATGTGAAAAACTATTATGTAATCAAAAATCAATAAATTGATAAAAACAAATCGTTCAATAAGATATTATTTTTTTAATTAACTTCCATAGATTTCGAATGTTTATGAATGTTTAAATTTTAAAATTAATCTTACCCGTAATTCCTTAGTGAGCAAGTATGTAACAATTGTTGTCAAACTTGAAAATAAAGGAGCAAGGAAGACACAGACATTTCTTATATCTATTGTAATATTTAAAAATCTTGCTAAATGGTACAAGGCTCCTGATGTTACCATTAGTCCAGGATAAATGGTTCCTGAAACATTTTCCAAATAAAGTTGAAATTATTTCGTTCATATTCAAAATGTATCAAGAAAATACAGAATGATTTAAAAAAAAAAAAAAAATTTTTATTACCTCCTATTATCCTGCCAAGAGGATACCAAACGCGATCGTCAAACCAATTGTAAAAATTATAAAAACCTTCTTCCACTAGAAATTTAGTCGTCCGATAATTAAAATAAGGATCAAACTCATGGATAACACTTTCGAATCTCAATACTGAGAATAAACGGGTAGCAAAAGCTAAAAAGAAAAGAGAAAATTATTTTTAAATAAGTTGTCCCATTTTTTGTTAATTCTGATATTTTTAAGTTGTAAAAAAAGTAATAAATAGTTACACAAAACTGCAGCCATGGATAGTATTGTTAATTTTAAAAGCGTTTCTTGTTTTTGGGATGACATACGCAGCCCTTTTACTTTTAAAAGACCACCCATGATTATATTAGAAATCTGAAAAAAACATCCACAATACAACAAAAACTATAACTTACATCAAAATTAAAAAGGTTTTATAATAAAAAAAGTGCTTTTTTCTATAATTTTGTAATTTTACATTTTATATGTTTGTTTTGTATCTCAATTCTGATTACTTATGTTGATGTATATTATTTAAGCTTGTGGGAAAGAAAAAATTGTAAAACTTTATAAAAGTACACAATGGAGAAAAAATAAATCTAATCTAATCTAATAAAAAAAAGTGATTTTTTATTTTTAAATATTGAAAATTTAGTATTTAGAATAAATTACTACTGGTACTTTATTAAATTTTAATTTTTTTCTCGGAAAAAGAATTAAATACCTTAAAAATTGAAGAAAAATTCTCATTTTAAGTAAAATTAAATATATGTAAATTGTATTTTTTAAAGGCATATTTCCTAATTCTTAAAATTAATACAATTAAGTAAACTTATAAAATTGAAATAAAAAAAAAACAATAACAATAAACATGTCGATCTACTGTCATTCTCAAGAGTAGATAATGCAGTATAAAGAACATGTTTAAAATTACTCTAATCAATATATAATAAAGAAAATAAAAAAATATGAAAATATATCTTGATCATTGAATAATCTTTTTATAATAAATATTTATTATAAAATTAAAAATTTAATGAAAAAATTCACAATTTGAGATATATAGTTGAACACGTATACAAATCAACCGGCCGGCAAAGGGAATTAATATTATCAATAAATTATTTTAAAAAAATAGTTTTCAGATAATCAGATTAATTGGAAAATTAAAAGAGAAACTTTCGGTACTTACAAGCTTTTAAAAAATTTATTTAAATTATCCTAATCATTTAGAAACTTTAGGAGTAATAAGGGATTTTTTAAACCCAAAAATGTCCTTGAACCACTGAACCACGCAAGCAGGTAATCATAACCTCAAAAATTTGTGAGGATAAAGATGAAAATATTTTTACCGACAATTGAAACGTGTCAATTTCAAATTTGTATTTTATTTAATTAGGTAGAAATGTATTTTATTTTAAAAATTTAAAAATAAAAAATGTAACATTTTTATGTATTATCAAATAAGAATTAAAATTGACATATAAAAAAAATTTTTTTTAAAATAAAAATAAATAAGTATTATTATACTATTTAGTTTTTCAATAAAAGGAAAATAAATCAAAAACGAAGCAGATAAATTTACAAAATGCTTTATTTCATAATAATTACAAATTTGTAAAATATTCCTGTCATATCCATGGACAATAATAGTCATCATTACCTCGAGAGAGATAAAAATTTGACATACCTATACACATAAATACCTTAACACCGTTGTTTAATAACGGAAGAACTAATTAATAAAAGAACAAATATAATTATTAACGATGTTTTTGTAGTTTCTATGGATAAAATTTTCAGTTCCATAAAATTAAAAGCATCGCATAAAATATATTGAATATTTTTTGAAACAAATATTCATATGTTGTAAAGGAATCGGCACAGAGAAATAAATAAAAATATATGTTTTGTGCACTGAAACCAAGGCGCTAAAATTAATAAATTTGAATAAAACGTTTTTAATTTATCTTTCGTTTATAACGTTACTTTCTTTTTTTACAATAAATGTTTGCCAAACTCGACTAGTACTGTGTTTAATCACAATAGATTATTTTATATATACTAGTCTCTAAAATCCTCTGATAAACTTTCATTTGAATAAACTCTTTTTAATTATAATTACAAAGTCAATCAATCATTAATACAATTACAATATTTCCGCACAACATCAATAAATTGAAGTTTTTCAATAAAATAAGAAAAAAATTTAATAAGCGCTTTTCAAGTCATAAAAGCACTTATTATAAAAAATTTATTTGCACCCTCTAAAATTGTGCCGATAATGATAGTGAAGAGAAAGTAGATTTATGTTTCTGCGAAGAAACATTACACATCATTACAATTAGTCCATCATTTTTTATTACAAGTTCCTAATCTAACGAAGAATATGTATTTGACATAGGTATTTTATACGAAACATTAAAAACTACTTTGTTACAAAAGAAAATTACATTTAACATTTCTAAACAGTCGATTCCAAAAAATTCTCTTAGAGAAAAAATATTCTTTTATAACTTTTCATCAGTAACAGTCAACGATAAACTTAATTTTTTTCAACATTTGACTTAATTAAATTTGTTATTGTTGTAATTATTTTATGTATATACATAAATGTGTATATACATAAATCAGAAACATAAATAAATTAATTAAATTTATTAATTATTTAAATAAAAGTTATTGCATCCTCATAGAGAAGAAATTTTACAATGATGAGGATTTATGAACATTATTCTTTTACATAAAAAAAAATTCAAAATCGATAATAAATTTGTGAAAATCGTTATTCCTATAAAATTTTCTTTTTGAGGAAATAAAATGGATAATTTATAATTTGAAGCGACTGTTCACAGTTTCATTCAAAGATGACATAGAGAAAAAGGTATATTTTAATTATGCGTAGATTATGCTTTTAGATATTTTTCATTATATTAAAAGCTAACAGTTAATTAGTTGATTATGTAAAGCGAATTTAAATATTATTAAAAAAATCGCTTTACGAATAATCTGCACTAAACCTTATTCTCTCTTCTGCATTTTCTTTCTTTTACTCAATTACTCTTTCTCTTTCTCTCTACCTATTAGGTAAGTTAGAGATAAATAATATCCAAGCTATTCTAACAACTATCGCAGATAGAAACAGTATAAAATGGACAAGTTATCATTATCAAATACAGTCTAAGAGCTCCTTTCTTTTTAATATATATTTTTGAAGAATGCCTTTCTTGTAACACTTAAGAAGGCGCGTTTTTTTATGAAATGTGAATTTTAGAAGTACAATGACTGTAAAGTAGAAGGTAAGAAAAATTTATCAAATATTGAGAATAGTGTGCTTTTTTAAGCCTTCCAATATCAGTCTTTCTTGCGTCCCGTAGCCAGCTTGTTGCGATCAGTTTTCTCGTGTTGATCACAATTCGTCTTGCAATTTAATCGGCAGCTCAATCAATTGAAACCCGGGCCATCATTAGTCCTCGCCTAGTCAACCAAACTCTGAAAACATAATTATTTATTTACTCTCAATGAGTAACGAATTAGAAAAAAAGTTGAATGTGAAGAAGTAATTTAAATTTGTAAAGCAGTCAAGAAATATTATTTAAAGAAATAATATTTGATAAAAACTGCGAGTCTTTGTAAAAAAAAATTTAATACCAGCAATAATACATTTTGAAAAAAATACAGAAAGAAAAGAATTAATTTACATAAATACAGTTATTTTAAAAATAAGTAACAAAACAAGATAAGGTTTAAAAAACAAATAAACCTTCTTTTATCAAGTATAACGAGGATAAATAATAAAGTTTTTTTTCTTTAAATTTTCATCATGTCGAATATAAACTTTTCTTTGACAAACAAAACAATATTTGCAATAAAATTATCCTGTTTTTAATTTCTAGTAATCATTTTTTGACAAACTGACTTAAATTAATTTTTTGTAATTAAAAATATCGCGTTATGTCTTGAAATTAATTAAACAATCAAAATAATAGTTTTAAAATATTTGACAATAGGTGACAAGTGTTTGGAATTTCGAAAAGAACTTACCCAACACCGGTTCCAATTAGAAGAGACAAAAAGTTTGTGAGGAAAAGTGTATATAAAACTTCCTTGGAAAATAATCCTTGTTTTCCAACTTTTACTGTTCTTATATTGTACATTTTTCTTTTTGTGATACTCAGGGGATGTTTGAATTTCCAGTCTCTGTAAAATAAAACAAGAAAAAAATCAATGATAAATCAAATACATTTTTTTTCCTAAACATCGTCTTATCGTTTAACATGTGCGTATTGATAACCCGTTAGATTGGAAAACCAACAAACGTGCAATAAAATATTTTTCATTCAATTTTTTCTTCTAATTAATATGAAAAATAATTTTTATACAATGATTACTTCGCAAACATTCACAAAGGAGAACAAAACCTAATATTAAATATTTTTTGAACTAAAAAAATTTCTAAATTACAACTGTAATAAATAAACTTAAGTAGATGAAAGTTTTGAAAAAATATTATATTGTAAAGAAATTTATAAATTATAAATTGTTCTACAAAAAAAAGAGAGAGATTAAAAAATAGTTGAATAATAATAAAAAATAATTGTAAACTTAATTTTTAATTAAAAAGAAAAATTGTTAAATTACTAAACAAATTTGTTTTTCCATGAGTCCTTGAATTATGCTATTTTGAATATTCTTCTAATTTTGTATTTTAATTCATTCTTCTTACTTTGGTGGCATTTGATCTGGTCTGGAACTCCACTCATATATCCACTCATTATTTTTTTCCTGCAATTCTCCATCCTACAACAAAGAATAAAATCCATAAGTTAAGAAATTACGGCTATCTGTTATACTTCTTTTTAAAAGGAAATATATAGCATTCTATTCGACTGGTTTCCTTTTTGAAAGTATAAAGTGTTTGGTAATGATGACGTGTATTACACAATAGTAAATTAATTCTTTTAAATTCTACAAATATTTTATTCATGTCCTTTAGTGGTTTTATTATTTTTATTTTAAAGTTTGTTTAAATTTATTACTAGTATTGTTATTCTTTTTGTGATATCAAATCTTAAAAAATGAAACTTTTTTTAAAAATTGTTCTATCTATATAAAAATCATAATTGTATCTCAAGCAAAAAGTTTTTCTGCCATGTCAAAAAATAGTTTTTTTTCAATTTTCTTTGAAAATAATAAATTAATGCGGCGAAAACATGATTAACATTTAGAGTTTGAATTAAAGTGTCTCATTGTTGCGCATTATCCCTTAATAATATAATCATAGTTAGCATTATGTCTTATAATATTTAACTGATAACAAAATATCTAAAAGCAGAAATTATATTTAGCGTCTATTTTAAATAAAATTAAAATTAATATGCAAATCACTCTTAAAGATTGAGAATCGATAACACTATTTTGTATATTCAAGTACATAAATTAATTAAGACCTGATAACTACACAATTATTCTTGAATCTTCTTTGCACAATCAGAAATGATTAATTTATTGATTTTAAAATAATTGACACTACAAAGTTAACAATTTTTTTTATAAATAATTAAGATATTGAAAAACTAATTTATCTAATATTCTAAGTTAAAGAAATTTAGAATTAAAATTTATAAAATAATGTACATATAAAAAAATAAATATAAAATTATTAAAACTTTTTTATTTTTATACACACTCAATAACAAGGGGATCAAGCTTTTAGTCCAAAGTTGATAAAACAGCAATTATAGTGGTACATTTTCATTACTGATATTTATTTAACAATAAACGCGTGCCAACTTTGAACAAAGAACGATGTTCTTATCATGCGTGACTAAGAATGAGAAAAACATTATCAAGGTGATCCTGTATATTAAAGAGGGAGGCAATAGTCAATACAACCAAAAGAACTGTGTACATATATTATATCAAAATAGTATCAAAGCATTATACATAATTTTTGACATTTTTTAAATAAGAAAAATTAATTAAATTAATTTATTAGTTAACGTACTCCATAACATTGTATGATTAATAAACAAAGAAAATGTTCAAGTTTAACATATTAAAAAAAAATATTTCAAATATAACCGCAACGACTCTCAGACGAAAGTCAATGGACTGACCCATATAATGAAACAATTACATGTACACGACAGTAATCTAATCATTAATCTGATTTAATTATTCTCTATTATTATACAAATCAATACTTGTATACATACATAGTATACTTCCTACTGTAATGCTTTTAATATTTTAATTCATTCATTAAAATAATCTTACGCAATATTATTAAAAAAATTTCACTACAAAAAACGCCTAAAAAAAGTAATAAACAAAATCAAGTGAAAATCTTACCTGTTATTAATTTGCAATTTTGCAATTATAACAGTTTTCTTTTAAATTAATAAAATTATTATTTTACAAATTATTTTATAATTAAAACACTGAGAAAAAAGGTTTGAGCTGACAACCAAATATTTCATTTAATATATGTGCAACTAAAATTTTTTGGTTGACACAACTAAACTTTAGTTGACATCAACCAAAGTTTGGTTGAGACTACCAAATTCTTTTTCATTTTCTTATTTAGTCGTCTGAAACAAACTTTGGTTGTTGTCAACTAAAATTTAGTTGTGTCAACCAAAAAATTTTAGTTGCACATATATTGAATGAAATATTTGGTTGTCAGCTCAAACCTTTTTTCTCAGTGAACAATTTTATAATTTATATCTTCATATACTTTAATAAATTCTTTAAAATTTGTTTGAATAATAATTAATAATACTACAAAAAAAATATTATTGTAGAATACTTAATTTATATTTTTTAATAGAGCCACAAATGATTTTTTTGGCAAGTCATAATTATTTTAAAAATGAGACAAGAGTTTAAACACCCAAAGTTTAAAATTATTTCTGATATAGTTTTGTAATTTTTTTTATTTATATAAAAAAATATGTATACTTTTATTTAATTTAAAATGATAATATGATAATACTTATAAATAATTCTGATTTAGCAAAAATTACGTGAAAAAAAAAATAATTTTCTTGAATGAAAAATTTTAAAATAAAACTAAATTACTAATTTTTTATTTCAATTAAAAATTTCATACAAATATAAAGAATTTTTGTATTGTATTATAGATGCAATCATTATTAAAAATGAGTCATTTTTAAGGTAAACAAATTCTAATTTGCAACTTGTTTGATCTCTTTTATCTGTGTCTTACTCTATAGTTCAAGTTCTTGAGCACTCGCTTCCTGATGTCAATGTCATGTAAAACGGGGAGCGTATTTGGACGACGCAAATGCATTATTATATTGGCTATTTTTGCAACAAAGTCGGCACACGTTTTAAAATTAAAAAGTATACAATTATAGAAACAATATAAGTTTATTAATTTGGCACGATACTTTTGGCGACTTAAAATAATCACTTTCTCATGTCTATATCTTTTTCAAACATTAACATTCAGTCTATTGAACTCTCTTCTTATGATATTTTTAGATTGACTCTTTGATTTATTTCAAGTTCATTATTATTATTATTATTATACAGCCTGTATCATTTTTTTTAATTATTTAAAATTTTCTAAATTTCCCAAAGTAATAAAATATTTATTCAAAATTAATTAAAATTTAATATTAATTTGATTTAAAATTTTTAAGAATTCAATGAAAAAACTCATTATTTCCAAAAGTTATATAGAATTGCTACGGTTTAATAATTTAAAAATTCCATGACGCTGAATGCAAATCTTTATTTAAAAAAAACTCCAAATTTTCAGATATTTTATAATAAAAAAAAAACTTATGGACAAACCCTAGAGTTTTTAAATTTTGCAACCTTTTTATTAATATTTTTCTGAATAAATTATGAATAATTTGTGGCCTTTGGTCCGTAGAAATAAGTGGATTATTTAGTTAAGTTTTTGATAAAGTTTATTATAATACGAATGCATTTTCGCCATAGAACATGGCTCATCAGGAAAATTAAGGTCCCAAAAAACAAAAAGATTATTAATATTTTTCTTTCTTTCTTGAAAGCCCATTTATGCTACAAATAAATAAATATTTTAGTTACGTTCCTATTCACTATAAAAATGACAATCACTTATGTAACGTATATTCAACTTTTTGGAAAACCCATTACCATAATAATGAATCATTCAATGAATGAATGAATTCTTTCTCATTAATTAAAACAAAACAAATAACACAGAAGAAATGTCATTTGCATTGTATTTGAAGGTTACAATTCCATTTAATGTGATTTGTAAGTTTTCTCTTCATTTAAAAGACTTGTTAAATTACATATTTAGATAAATGAAAAAAAATTATGTATATACTTTACAAAATTGAAAGAAAATATTATTTTTTCGTTTTTAATTGTCATTTATTCTTTTAATTTCATTATTTTATTTCTTAAAATACCAATTTTATCAAAAATAATGTTAGAAAAAATTGTATTCTTTCTAATTATTATTAAATCTAATTATTATTCGATATATGTCATTATTTACCAAAATTTCTTACGATGCTGAAGTTCACAACGTTTATGATTAAGTACAGATTTTTAAAGAAATAATATTTTTTTGAGTGAAAAATTCTATAAATTTTCGTCTCAAAGATATTTTGTGTAATGTTTATTGATCACAAAAAATTATTAAAAAAAAAACAATTTTTTGGATAAAAATGTCTATAATTTTCTGTTTTAAAAAATAATTTATTTTCTAATCGAAAAGTTATAAACGTTGTGGACTTTAGCATCGTAAATTTCTACATAAAAGAATTCTTATTTTAACGAATTTTAATTTCATTAAAGGTGTGTTTACTATAGAATTGACACTAACTCTGAAACTGAAATCCTCCTAAAACTAAATTCTAAAAGCCTGAAAATGGGATTTTAGTCTTAAAAAAATGGACAAAAATTTGCTTTTAGGTACTCTAATTGAGAGCATGGAGTTTAATTTCAACTCGAGTGCGAAAACATCTAATCAAAAATTAGTTTTAAATTTGATAATTAAAAATTTTTTTTAAAAAACACAAAAAAAAAAAAAAACAACATTTTTCTTGAAAATGTTTTCTAACTCTTTCGCTACTCTTACGAAAAATTGAGTCTGGTTGAGGCAATCTAAATTGAGAATGGATGATCAACCGCAGAATATGGCGTGACCAAGAAAGAAGTTGCGATTGGTCAGAAAATATTACGCGTTCTTCAAAAGCGTCACCCTCATTCGCATATGTAGTTATAAATTAACATGGAATCCCCAATGACAAAGCATAACATTTGAAATTTCTCGAGTTGATATAAAAAAGTGTCGATTTTTGTGGATACTTTGAAAATCAAGTGATCAATCAATTTCAAATTTAATCACTTTAGGCGAGTATATAAAATGAGAAAAAGGAGGCTCTTGATTTTGAAATGAATTGTACTTTGGTACACGTGCACAATGGCACGTGCACTAATTGTTCTATCAACACTAAATATAGTTAAAGTTGATTTGCGACTTTATTCATAAACGACTGTGTCCTATTCTTTCGACTATAAAGTTGCAGGGAAAACAATTCGATGACTTGCTGCTATTTTTTCCAAGCTAGCCAATTAATGTATGAGTTTTGTTTCCTGCAATTATTTCTATATATCATAATGGAGAAAGTAGGAAAACTCTTCAATTACTGTTTTTTTTTCTCCTATTTTAAATTCATACAATCTTCCGCATTTCTTAAAATTATACACTTAAAAAAATATATTTCGTTAAACTGCTACTTCCACATTTATTAATATTCGACGAGTAACAAATACCAAATTTAAAAAAAAACTAATATTACATTTAGATAACATTTATAAAAAAAAATAAAATTACGTAAAATCTATAGAAATTTTTTTTAATGCTATTTGAAATAAATAGTTAATGTTTTTGTTTTGTTTTACCTGTTTATCTTTCATGATCGTGAAATTATAAAAAAAACCAAGGTACATATCATTTTTCAGAATAAATGATAAAAATGATAACATTATACGTGTATCACGTGCTTTTGTTTATACTCAACATTTATAATTCGAAAAGCATTGTTGTAAATTGACACATTCAAGCTTCTGTTCTTTTTATAAATCCTTGTATAAAATATGAAAATTATTGAATTAAATTGTATTTTATGAAACCTATAAAGTTTTGATTGGTTATGTTAAAATATAATAAATTTTACCGAACATAAAGCAATTATACTAAAAATAAACACAATAAAATTTTTCCATGTGTTTGAAAATTTGCCAAATGATAGAATGAATATCTCATTTATAAATGAGTGGTCGAAACTTGATGTCTATAGAATTCACGCATAGCAAAAAGAAAATAACGGAATAAAATAATGGCACAATTTTCAAATATCTTGGAAATTCTTATATAATTGTAATATTTTTACTGTTGCGTTATTTCTATGGTCTATGTTGATATTGCGCATAGCTACAGGATCGAAGCTACAACCTTAAGAAGATACTTCTTTTATGTTCGCAAAAACCGGTTTTACTATGAAAAACGAAAAATAGAAGAAATAATTCGGATTGCAAAGGCGAGTTGTGTAACCGCAATCTCTTTGAGAAAGTGAAGAAATATTTTCGATCCAAAGCATATATACCAAATTAAAAAAAAGAAATGATTCTCTGAAATCAATCTTTGATGTCACTAATAATATTTATAGTTTAAATTAAATTTCTTTAAGAAAAATAATGCATAACTCGACATTTTTCCAAAATCAAAGAAAATTTTATTTTCACAGTAAAAAGATAATCTTGTTTTAAGATAAATTTGAAATGAAATAATATAGGTACTTTTAACTATAACAAGCAAAGAAATCAGCTCATTGTCAGAAAATCAATAAAGACTATATATCTTAAAATTGTTACATTTTTTCCCTTAAAATAAAATTTTCTTTCTACTGTGTTACACATGACACATTGAATGTAATAAATTGAAGATATCTGATAGATTATCAAGGTTAAAACTTATAAATGTGAATAAAGATTAAAAGAATCGATAACTGCGTCTTAAGATAAAAAAGATTCAATTCTGATATAATATAGTTATACATATATGGAAGAACATAACGTCAGGAGATTCGTATTCAGAGATGTTTTCACTTATGCGTCATTACTTTTCATTTATAAAAGAAAACATTGAATCCTGCCAAGTGCGATGCCACTATTTAATTTGACATTATTTTCTATCCAGTATAAATGATAATTTACATCTAGTTGACCTTGGTGACGATTTTGTAAATAAGTCTCACTTTTTGTATTTAGCAGTAGTCAACATTATATCTATCCGGATTTCCCACTCTATTCAACTTAATATATATATGGAAATGCGATATTTTTCCTGTAGTATAAAGTTTTATTGTTCTAAATTTGCACACTATTGTGTACTCATAAGTATTTAAAAACAACAGTTTCTTTTTAAAACATATATTTAATTGAAGACGATATACAACATTTTTCACGATTTTAAAAATGAAAATAATAATAAGACATTATAATCTCAATACAAAACAATGGTTTTTGACTATGAAATGACTATAAAATTCAGTTTTCATTTTTTTTGACAATAAAATTTTTCTTAATAATATCATAATAATAAAAGAAAATGAAATAAAAAAAAAAGATGATTGATTAAATAACACGTTTAATATAAAAGTAAGTTTAAAAGTATATAAGTAAATGCGAACGTGAGAAATTCTAGATTAATAAGAAAGTATGAAAAACTTTATATATAGATTATGGCATAGATGGAAACTTTTTGGAGTAGAACATAGAGTAAAGCATATATAGTTTTTAAAATAAATACGTAAAGAATATTAAAAAGATATATCAAACATTTTTTGCGAAATAAAATTTCGTCACTTTTTATGAAAACATTTTACATTTTTGTGAAATCATTAAAAATGACTAAACTTACCTTATTGCAACTGTAGTTGATGTACACCCCTTTTAAGTCATCCTCCGTCGATAATTCTGTGTTTGGACTGTTAGGAGGACTTTTAGGACTGAAAGAAAAATAAATAATGTACCTAATAAATATTAAGTTTAAAAACTAATTTTTACTTAAAAAAAAATTTACCATCATTTAATCATGTCATTTAATAATTTTATTATTTTATAAAATTTTCTATATTTGATTCAGAATTTGATTATTTTAACGGAGAAATTTAATAAAAAGCAAATAAATAATTCAGCAGGGTTAACATAAGAATAACTTTTTCAATTTCCCTGAAATTTCTCTTCCATTAAAAAATTTTCCCTGACAAAATTTGTTATTGAAGTTAATGAGTTTTAATAAAAAACGTGTTTTCCTACTGTATTTCACACTTTCACTAAAGCAGAGATCGAATATGCATTTGATTAAAATTTTAATTAATACATTTGTTTTGACCAATGAAAATTAGAATTGATTATTTAAATCATTTATATCATTATTAAAATTTAGATTGAATTGAAATTTGGATCGTTTAAAATTTAAATGAATTTACCCTACCAAAACTTGCCAGAGTTCACTATACTGGCGCGGTACTATTAAATTGCGCCAGTAATCAATTTTTGATAGGATAAATTTATATTGATTACAATTTTAATCAACTAATTTGAATTTATATTTTTTGCAATTTGTCATAAATAATTTTTAAATTGTTTGAAAAATGTTGATAAATACAAGCTTGGTTCAATTGAATCATTTATAGAAAAAATGAAAATCTGTAATTTTTTATTTTCTAAATTAATATAAGTTCAAAAATTCAAAAAAATTCTTTTTAAACTAATAAATTATTTTTCAACATTCTCCTAAATTTAAATCAATGTTTTTACATTGTAAATTTAAAATTATTTTTTAAATACATCCGCAAATTAATCTAATCATGAGAAAGGTGAAAAAAGGGACCAAAATAATCAAAATAGGTGAATAGGTGATGATGACCTGTGATCCCTTCTAGAGATAAAAATTGTTAAAACTTTTTACTCATACAGGAAAATGTATAATTCATTTTTCCGTTTTATTCAATTTCCCAAATTTCCTAGATAAAAATATTTTTTCTCTGACTTTCCTAACAAAAAAAATTGCCCCAATTGAAATGGAAATTCAGCTTAAAAATATAATAAAATTCTTTAAAATGAAAATTCTAATCATTGATTTTTATGAAAAAATTTATTCGCTATATAAAATTTGGTTAATTCAACGTTTAATTATTATATTTCTCTTGAAATTTGGTGAATATTTTAAAATTAAATAATACTTAAAAAATCAAATTTCAAGACAAATACATGTAAAAAAAACTTTCTAAAATAATTGCCAAAAATGTACATTTTGTATACATTAAAAGTAATACATACAAGTGATCAGAGATTTTTCTAAAAATAGACCGCAATGACTTTGGGTGAAATATAATGGAATGACTATATGATGTATCGACAAAGAGACGTTCTCTTATTTAATAACAAGGACTCTATCATCGATCAGTTAGTTGAGCGTCAAGTTTTGCAAAAATCATTAACAGAATGCTAATGACCGACCTTCGTAAGAAGCACAAATAGCAACAGTTCGTTCATTCTTTGCTGTCTTTCATCTTTCATCTTTTACAAGAACTAAAAGTAGCAAATTGCCAATTCTCAAGTATGCTTTCTGTATATATACTCTCCTAAGTACTTTGAATACAAAGGAATTCAAGAAATGCAAACAATGTTGCCAGGATAGCTTAGAGTTCGTCTCAAGTCTCAGTTTATAACACACTAAACTGCCTGATGACTTGAAACGCTTTTTCTTCTATCTACTTAGATTGAACAAACTTTGAGACAATAGAAGATATAAATCGAACCAAAGATTCAAACATTAATGCAACAATACAATAATAATTTAATCATTTATAGATTGTACATTAATAATTAATAGTGTCTCAATGTTCAGATTAGTATTAACTAACTTAAAGATGTAATAAAGAAATAATAACTTTTTATGGATTCTGCATATTGAAAAAACTTTTTCAAGGATTTTTTCTTAAATGTATAAAGAATTTTAAATAATGACAGCTTTAATATTTATAGCAGTGATCACAGTACAATAATTCCTTTCAAAATTCTGAAATCTGAATCCTTTTCAAATCGGACAGACTGTATTATAAATTTTATTGTTACAAAAATGTATTTTCAGTAGCCACGATATCTATAATGACATTTTCTTCATGGAAAATATAAAGAAAACAAATATTTTGTGATTATAGCTCGTGATTGGAAGAAGAATTTGAAAAAAAAATTAAATGTGAATTTTTGGCATTTTTTTGTAAAAAATTACGATTTTTAGGACTATCTTAGACTATGATTCAAAAATAGAGTTTTGAGAAAAAAGCGTTCAAAGTTGAATGATATAAAGGTAGAATTTTTTTTATATTTCATCGGATTCGTGATATTACAAATCCAGTGTCAGTTTTCCAAAATTCAAAATGTCGAATCCAATATGGTGGACAAAAAAAATTAAAAATTAATCGAATTTTTATAACAATATAAATATTTATTTTCTTTGAAAATAAAAAATCTTGTCCAAAATAAAATTTAACAAAACCAATTACTTTGAAAGAAAAAAAAACTGAAAATGATAAGTAGAAGAACATTTGTAATGGAACATTACAATGTCAGAACGCTAGGTGCAGTTGAAATGAAAAGCGTTTTCGAAAATTCTCTCTCTTTTCTAGAGAATTAAAACTTTGGGAAAATATTCTTGACAATTTTTTTTTTGAGCCATGTAACCCCTTAATTACCATTTTTACTTCATGGTTTATTTGGAACTGATGTTAATAATATAATTCTGTCTAAAATGAATTTACCTATCACGTGGAGTATCTCGTCGTGAAGAGGCCAAGGAATGTCTAGCGGATGAATGGGTCGAGTCACGTTGAGCTTCCCTTAAGAGGCGCAAGTATTCTTCACCGCCACTGCTAAAAGGTAAAGGTGTTATTCTGTCAGCTGATACAGGATTCAGCTCTACCCAAGATTCTGAAAAAGACAAAATAAAATCATATCAAATGATGATTTTTACTACAACATAAATTTAAGCCATTCCAGAATTTGAAGGTATATTCAAGTTTTTGAAATGTTTTATTTTCTGCATGATATTGTTTTTTTAAATAAGGTAAAAGCACCAGTACCTGGACGCTATTGAAGGGGTCTCAAATTTATCGGTGTTCTGTACTAAGATAATTCAATATAATTGGATAAAATGTTTGTATTTTTGTTTTATTTACCTTTTAATTAGACAAAATTAATCATAATAAATGATGTTTTAATTAAATTAAAATCATGAAATAATGAAATTACTCATTTGCAACAGAAGTTAGCCATGGTATTAGTTGGACATGATAAGTAAATTAAATGATTATTTATTTTGATTATTTAATAAATTAAATAATTGAATTAAAATGTAATTAAACTAATAATATTTATTAAATTAATAAAACTGATTGAGTTAATTGAATTAAATATTTATCCAACTATTGGGTACAACATATAAAACGGTAGATCAACTTATGGACACTAATTTTAGAAGAATCGTTTCATATAATTTTTTTGCTCCTACGATTAATAAATTTTATTCAGCCTAAAAGGTAACTATCAAAAGAGTATCTCAATTTTTTTTCCTTAATTTGGAGGCTATTTTAATTTCTTTTTGCTATTGTCCATCTATATACTGGTTTTCCAATTTTTGCTTTGTCCAGGTACTGGTGCTTTTACCTAATTATATAGTCAAAAAAGTAAGTAAGTCCCTTGGACTCTTGCTTTTTTATATTATAGACTGTTATGTATAATTATATCGAGTAATAAATAATAATGCTACATTGAAGGCTTTAAGCATCATTATTAAGGACAAACAATTTAACTCACATGCTCAGCAAAGCATAAAATTGAGTTTTCTTAAAAGACTAACTCTATAGAACTTAGACTCATTTTTGTTGTGTATCATTACAATAACATCATTATGAGTTAATAGTAAACTACATTGCTTTCAAAATCATTGTAACGTGTTTTATTTCATTTGCATTTAAGGAAAAACTATCTATAGTTATATGCGGGTTACGGTTTAGATTCTATCTTATATTGATATAGCACTGCAGAACATTGTGGAGGAGAAAATATTAGGGCGAATAATTACATTTAAGGAATGTTTATTATTGTCCAATTCTTGTGTAATAAATTTTTTTTAAATATTAAAGATTATTTATATTAAATTAACAAAATTAAAATTTGGCGCCATTATCAATAGTTTTGTGTTGCAAGGTTGGCATTTCTACTTATCAATTCATAAGATTTTTAACCTGAAAACTCTGTTTTTTAAGTCTACGTTTTTTCGAGAATCTGTAATAAGAGGAAATGCGGTAGTGACTGCGGCACAAGTCTAAATTGTTCTCATAATGTAATATAGGACATGTACCTTTACTTATGTATACATATAAAAATTTCCATAAGTTTACTTTAAATCATTTAAACTCTTTAAACTGGAAATAGAACAATTAAGAAAACATAAAGAGTATATAGAAAGTTTAAACAAGAAAATCAATAAGAGGTTAACAACCGTGTAAAGCAAATTGCTGACGTAATTTCTTGCGACTTCGACTATATACATTTTTTTATAAATCCACCAAGCTATAAATGAGTTATATAGTTGACTTTGTTTTCACACTATTTGTTTCTGAATTATACATAAGAGTATTTCATTAGTATAATTATCATACACTATATCATTTTTTGCAACATATATATTACACATTTATTAATTATGAAAGAAATTTAATTTGCTAATAAGTCCCTGAAATTCTGAATCATTTTTTTGGTCTACATATTTTTTTAAAATTATTACAGCAATGAAAAATAATATTAAACATTTAATAAATAAGTCATTTATTTTTTGATACTGAAAGTAATATTTTATAATATTTGAAGTTAATTAAGTAGTAAATAAATTTTTCGTTCATTTGAACGTTCAGAACTTTAGGCACATTTCCAAATATTGACGGTGACAATCCTCAAGACAAGCCTTTCAATTGACAAATAGACGTAAAAAAATCATCAATAAATATTAAATTCAGAATTGGTTATCAATCAAATTCAGTTGTCACAAATCCATTGCACATAACAAATGCAGCTTAAGAAATCGTCTTTCTCTATACTATTTTTTTATTTAATCTCACGAGGAGTAAAAAAAAATTTATTATCAATAAATGAATAATATTTGAAGTAGCTTTCTCATTTATTATCAATTCAAGTGCATTTTGGTAAATCTGGAAAATTTTTAATGTAATTAAAATTATATTATTTTGAGTTATAACATTAATTATTTAAATAATATACAGAAAGAACCCTCTTATCAGACCGTTACTATATACAATATTTTTAGTCATCTGTGAGGACGGTTAGTGTACAATAAATTCTCTGCAAGACTAAATAAGGTGAAAGTTTATCAGATATAAAAGTGCATCCCATCAGCATCCAACACTATCATCAATGTTATTTGCATTAAAAAGAACTTCCTATATTTGAAATTCAAAGTTGCAACAACATATACTGGAAAAAAATAGTGTAATGAATTCAGAATACCTATATACTTGTCCGTATTTGATTAAATGTTTTCTTAATCCAAGAAAATTTTATTAGTTAGAAATAAATTTTCTTGAATTAAAAAAAAATTAGTGGATCAAATACGGACAAGTACATGGTTTTCTTGAATCAATGCTACATTTTTTCAGTGATAAGAAAGAAAAAGAAAAGTAGGAAAAATATGAACTACATGTACATACTAACTCCAAAAGTGTGAGTTAATCGTGAACAATTTTTTGCTTTTTAAAAATACCAAATTTTTTTTATCAAAAAGATTTATTTTAATTAAAAAAATTTTTCAGTAGTTTTTGCAATATTTTATTCTAATTTTTAAACTTGCAATTTTTTTTTGTTTGGTTAGATTCTTATTACACTTTATCATAAAATATATAAATTTATTATATTTATTTAATATTACTCACTGGATAATAATAAGTAGGTATACATAATGAAACATTTGACTCTTATTCCTTTTTCAGTGCCAAAAATATTTTTTCTCTGTTTATAAATGTTTATTTTACAAATTTCTACTTTGCAGATGTTGCTAAAATTGTAGCATTACTGTTTCACAATTACACTAATGCTATCCAACTCTCCCCTATATTGATAGTATATCATTTTAAATAAGAGTAGTATTCTGAATAATACCTATAACTTTTAAAATTAATAACGAATGAAATATATATGAAACTATAGTTTTAAATTATGGTGATTTTCTTTTTCCTATTCTTTAATATTTGTATTTAACTTCGTCCCTTGTTATTTTTCATTTATACAGTATAATCCTTCGTGAATGATCAGTGTAGGTCGATGAAACACAGGACCTGACGTTGGTCACGTAGCTACACTGCAAAAGCAACATTGCGTGTAAACTGTCAGGTCTTCATGCCTTCTTTGTTTAATTTCCTTTCTCTTTACATATCAAGAAACCTATTATAATATATCACACTCCTCAAGAAGAATAAAAACATAATATCACGTGATTCTATAACTCATTTTTTAAATAAATATATTTCAATAGATTTTCATCATGAACAAAATGGAATAATATAATAATTATTTTCAAAATTCAAAATTCACTAATTCTTTACCAAACAGATAAGATTTGGTTAGTTTCCTGTGATTATTTAAAGTAAAATTTTAAATGATGTTTCGTTCAATAAAAATTCTTTGATTTTTGAAGATTTTTTATAAAATTCCCTGATTTTTTGCCAGATTTCCAGTTTTCCCTGACTTGCGGCCACCCTGATCATTTAAATGTTTGTCATTTCAATGTGAAATTAAATATTTTTACAAGTATTGAAAATCTATATAATTCATAAAATTGAAATTGTGTTTCTATATATAGATGAAAGCGAACTAGAATTTATAAATTATTGTTCTACTTGACAAAATTAGTTCTCAACGTGCAGAATCAAATAATCAAATAATTTGATTGCTTGATGGAGTGTGACAGCTTCCTTTATCATAAGAGAAGATGAAGAAGAAGAGGAAGCAGAAGATAAACCTCGAGAGGCACGCCCTTTGATACAAGAGAATTTCAGATTCTCTTAGTGTAACATGACCTAATTCATATTCTATATTAAGAATGGTACAACAATTTTAACACCATGTTCAAATTTTGCCTAACTTCAAGAATCAATGCTAAAATAACATTTGAAATAAAGGAGACAAATTGCCATATTATCAACAAAATTATATTCAATGATTTAGATTTAGAATCTAAGATATTAAATGACTATTAAGATGATTTTACATCGAAAAAGTGACAACAATGTATCAGAGATTGTATTGACGAAAATTAAAAACAAAAAGTTACTTGAAAGTATTTATTTATTTATTCATTATAATAAACATAAAACGCTGGGATAACATTTTATAGCTAATTATAGACATTAGCTGATAGTCATGAATATATGTTTCCTTTATAAATTGAGTATATCAGTCAGTGGCATATGAATGTATAATTATTATCACATGCGTTGATATCACAAATTTTATAAAATTCTATTTCCAAAATACTTGTAAAATAAGAAAACTTCATGAATGAAAAATTCAAAATAAATTGCATTTTTTACGTATTACAAAAAATACGTAATACTAAAATAGAAATTATAAAAAGAAGTCTAACCCAAAACTAAGTTTACAAAACTTAATTTTTTTTCTTTTGTTCTAATGGGTGATAATTTCACATTTTAAGAAGTCGTTTTTATGTTAAATGATTTGATAAAAAAATTTAAATACTTCATGGAAAAAGATTTAAAAAAATTTTTAAATAGAAATAGAGTTTAAAAATAAATTGATTAGTCATATTTCACATTACAAAAGTCGAAATAAGCAGCATTTTATATGTATAGGTACTAAAACAAAGTAAAATAAAATAAAATAAGTCGAAAAAAGTCGTT